ACCTGGATGTGCAAAGTAGTTGTGATGATATGTACGGTTTTGCTATCACATGTCAACGGTGCAGAATTGTGCTTAGGCATTTAGATTTGTTTTACCCTTAGGCGTGAAGGGGTTAACTTGAGATTAGACCATCTTTTTCTCAGTTGATCCTTTGTTTGTTGAACTTCGTGTTTCCTGCAAAGGACTTTGATGATTTTTTCCATAATTGCATGCTTCCTTTTGACTTGTATTCTTGTATACTTGGAGCTTGCAATCATAATCCTTCCAAAGCAGGATTCTCACCATTTCAACCATCTCTTGCAATGACATGTTGTTGGCCTTTTTCTTTTTGGATCTCCCACTCTCCAGCTGCTACACTGTGCCAACATGTTCACTCTCACTGCCTGTGCTGTCTTCTTCCTCCGCCATCTTATCTCCACAAAGGGCGCCAGAAAGAAGAGGCGGAGCTTGGAGTGTACAAAGGTGCCAGCAAAGCATGTAATTTTTACGGCGGGAACAATTTTTCATGGTTACATAGTTAGTCTGGCTGAAAAAAGACAAAAGTACATCAGTTCAACCATAGAAATAAAAGTTATAATTCTATACCCACAGTTGATCCAGAGGAAGGCGAAGAAAAGCACGATCCAATTTGCTCCTGCTGGGAAAAAAATTCCTTCCTGATCCCCCGAGAGGCAATCGGATGTTCCCTGGATCAACTTTAACTATAAATGTTAGTATCCAGTTATATTCTGTGTATCTAAGAAACAATCCAGACCTTTTTTGAAGCAATCCGAACCAACTCTTGAGGGAGTCTATTCCACATTTTCACAGCTCTCACTGTGAAGAAACCTTTCTGTGTTTTGGAGATTAAATTTCTTCCTCCAGGCGTAAAGAGTGCCCCCTTGTCCTCTGTGTGACTTCAGAGTGAATATCTCTACACCGAGTTCACTATATGAACCACTGTTGTATTTATACATGTTGATCATATCCCCCCTTAATCTCCTCTTCTCAAGAGAATAAATTCAGTTCCTCTAATCTTTCCACAGCTGATCTCCATGCCTCGCATCAGTTTGGTTGCCCTTCTCTGTAATTTCTCAAGTTCCCCAATGTTTTTTGTGAGTTGGTGCCCAAAACTGAACTGCATATTCTAGATGAGGTTTCGAATGATTTGTATATGATACTCAATTTTACACAAAGCATGAAGAATTTTTAAATGAGGCAAGCAGGTATTAAATTGCCTCACATCCACCAACAATAGGCTCCCATTTGACGATGCTGAAAGGAATTGCAGTAAACTAGACTTCATACTAGTCAGATTATAAAGCAAAAATGTATACAAGGACCACAGGGAGCGGTCATTCATATGGCCTTTATATTTCTGTCAATATTGTTTTTTTGTGGTTTTTTTTTTTTTTTAAATCCATATTTATCCTAGATTGTAAGCTCTAACAAGCAGGGTTCTCTGTTTCCTCTTGTACCAAATTGTATTGTAACTGTAATGTCTACCTTCATTTTGATTAAAGCGCTGAGCAAACTGTTGGCACTATATAAATCCTGTATAATAATAAAAATAATAATTTGTACAGAGGTAATATATCTCACTTTCTGGAGTCTATACCTCTTTTAATACAGAGTATTTTGCTCGCTTTAGAAACCGCAGTTTGGCATTGCATGCCAATATTAAGCTTGTGATCTACCAGAACCCCCACATGCTTCACCATTGATTCCCCCAGTTGTACCCCCCCCCCCCCCCCCCAGTATGTATGATGCATGCATATTCTTAGCCCCCAAGTGCAGAACCTTACATTTATCAACATTAAACCTCATTTGCCACATAGTTGCCCAATTAAACAGTGCATTGAGGTCGGCTTGTAAGTTGGAGACATCCTGTAAGGACGTTATTCCACTGCACAGCTTGGTGTCATCTGCAAAGACTGAAATGCGATTTTTAATCTCAGACTCTATATCATTTATAAATATATTAAAAAGTAAGGGTCCCAACACTGAACCCTGGGGTACACCACTGACCCCAGACCAGAGTATGATACATTAACCAGCAATCTTTTCATACGAAAGAACGCTACTTCACTTGAGAGAACTTCGAAATAACGATAATTCAGTCGAAAGAATATTTCTTCTGGAAAAATGTCAAAACCAATACAATTGTCTGTCAGCATTTAACACAGGTAGTTCATGTCTCCAAATTTCTGTGCTTATACTACATTTTGGACAAAGGCCTTCCCATGTACAGTATGCTGTCTACCATTGCTAGTATTCCCAAAAACAGCATAATGTGTTAACTTTTTGGGATTTTATTATAAATATACTTTGTGTGCATTTTATAAATGTGATTTCTATTTATTTTCAGCTATGGCCCAGAAATTTACCTCTCCCACACTTACCACAATTTATAGACATGTTCCATAATTTGCCATGCCTATGGAAGGTTAAATCCAACGAGTATTCCAATTGCATGATGCGCGATGAGGCCTACAAAAAGTTGGCACAATTATGTAATGCAGTTTGTGGCCCACTTGCTGATGAGGTATATGTAAAGCACAAGATTGCCAACCTGCTCAGTGTTTAATAAGGAGGTAAATAAAATTGAGGATTCCAAGAAATCTGTTGCAGGGGTCGATGACGTTTTATATGCCACGGTTGTGGTATTTTAATAGCCTGCACTTCTTGGCTGACTCCGATGTTGCAAGAGAGTCACATTGCTCCTTGCAGCCAGGTCCCTCAGACAACACATCCAACTTGTCATTGTCACCTCTATCACAGGTGGACCTTGATATACCAGAGACACAGGTAATTGAAATAAAGCATCTTTTGTTGCAATGTATAAAGATATGTACCCAGAAAATTAACAATTAAAGCACTGTCAATAAATCTCAAACTATAATTAATATATATATATATATATATATATATATATATATATATATGCACACATTGTACGCATCATCAATTCAGATGTTGTGTGTATTATATATTTACACCACATTATCCTGCCAAGACACTGCACCATTCCCCATAAAATAATGCATATAATTAATATGGTTTTGACGTGTTGTTATTTTGGGCAAAACAGGTTGTGCACAAGCCAAGTTTTCTAGGCCACCATGATCATTTTCCATTCTCCAAGCAGACGTTCACCACTTAAGAGATCTTCTCTGTCCAATGATACTGGTGGCATATAGGCCATGGTAGTACATCGCACAAAAATTATGAAGCAAGCAGCAGCTCTCCACAATTGCATCAATTGTGTCCATGTCCACATTGATGGGAGTGAAGAGAAAATGTGGAATCGACTAGCCATTATTCCAAATGCATTTTCAACCATGCTCCTTGCTCATGACAGCCGGTAGTTGAACACTTTTTGGTCATGATTCATATTTCTCCATGGGAATGGTTTCAAAATATTATCATGCAAAGAAAACGCATTTCCAACAGACAAAATTCAGTCCTTTAACTGTCTCTGCTAATGTTGGAAGATATAGAAGTCCGCCCTTCATTCTTTGTAGGAATCAAGTATGCTCCATGAAACCTCCATCAGAATTCCTGCCATTATTACCAATGTCAAGGTAGAGGAATTCATATTTTGCATTTACAATGGCCAACAGGATGATGCGGAAGAAGCCTTTGTAATTATAGTAATATGATCCTGAATGTGCAAGTGGTGTGATGCGCACATGTTTTCCATCTATGGCTCCGCCACAATTTGGAAAGTTCCAAATGTCATGCAATTCTTTGGGAGTCTGCAGCCATTCTTGAGGTACTTGGAAACTGTAAAAGATAAAAATGTTTTAATGTGTGTTTCTTGAACATTAAACATATTTTCAGTGCTTTTTTGGAATAGGAAAGTGAAAGTCCACAGGAAAGAACAACCCCAGCATTGAGAATAAACAGAGAAAAAAGTGATAATCTACCGAGTATGACACCAACTTTTTTGAGAAATGCATCTGCTACCCTGGCTCAAAAGTAGGATGAATGTGACATCTTTGTGAAACATATTGCACACAAGCTGCGTAGATGACCCAACAGCAACAGGAAATAATTGATCCGCTTATCTAAACTTTTAACCATAGGTCAAAGGGAACAAGCAACCTATAATACCAAAATTGTTGGATATAATTTACTCAGTTCTAGCCAGACACTAATGCCTGGACAGAACAGTGTAAATAATATGCCCCATCCTTCACATAGTTTTCCAAACCCCTATCAATTTATGCCCCCTTTTTTCCACAATAGGCCCACTCATTCTCAGGCTAGGCCCCCACAATCCCAGATTGCTCCACCCCAATCTCATACAACTACGAGCTGGCAACTGCATGACCAGATGAGTTCCTGGTCTCCTAATGTGCAATACACAAACCTTTGAGACATTTGTTGTTTATATACATGCCTGATGTTGTTGTGCACTGTAAACTTTTGAATTTATTATATTTTGTTCGTATTTCAATTAATAAACTTCCAAATTCTTGTTCAAGTTTGCACTTATTTTTTTGTTAATTTTTAAATTATATAATATTAATCCCTTGCCCTCCACAGTATTTACCCCCTTTCCTGACCAGGCCATTTTTTTGCATTATGGCACTGTGGTATTTTAACTGGCAATCTCACGTTCATGCAACACTGCACCCAAATTACATTTAAGGCCTTTTGTCACAGGAATAGAGCTTTCTTTTGGTGGTATTTGATCACCAGTGCGTGGTGTGTGGGTTTTTTTTTGTTTGTTTGTTTTTTTCGTGGGGGGGTATAAAAGTATAAATAAACTGACAATTTGGATACCAAAAACAGATATTTTGCTATTACACATGTCCAGTAAAACCCCAAAAATTAATTATAGTAAATGATAAATTAATAATTCTCCATGCAAGTTATAGTGTTACCAAATGGTGTTTATATATATATATATATATATATATATATATATATATATATATATATATATATAATATATATATATATATACTGGATATTTTTTTGATACTTTTTTAAATTGGAATGGCATCAGTAACTTATAGCTGGACTGGGGCGGCCATTCTGACACTGGAGGGAACTGACTTGGTGTCACGAACATCTCCAGTGACACCAATACAGTGCTCTAGTGCTAATAAGAATCAATGACACTGTACTAATGGCACTGGGCAGGAAGGGGTTAACATATGGGGTGATCAAATGGTTAACTGTGTGCTGTATGTTTCACATTATGTGCTGTGTTTTTTTCACTGTAAGCACACTGGTATGTATGGCTCGGCTATGCAGAGCCATGCAAAGCAGTGTGCAGGAGCTGACAGGGGAGATAACAGTATTGTTTACATACAGTTCTTCCGCCCCAATCAGTAATACTCAGTGATCACCGGGTGCCGGCAAGTAATCACTGGCTGGGACCCAGTCATTGATAACCGAGGCTGCAAATGGCTTATATAATAAAAAATACCTTCAAATAGTCATCTTTCAGCAAAATGGATATTGCTGCACATGTTTCTGGGATTATCCTACCCTAGGACTGTGCTTATATTCCCGTGGAAAAATTCAGGTCTTCATAGGATCTTCCTGTTTGCTAGGTAACGGAGGGTTGCTATGTGCCTTTCCTCAGCACTGATGGATTTGCGCATGAAAGTCTGTCTTCTTGATGTGTGGTCCAACCAGGTTTAGGAGGAGCTCAAACGACTGCTGTGACATTCTTAAATAGTCTCCGTAATCGTCAGGATTGTTTTCTTTTAAATTTGACAGCAGGTTCATGTGGGAAAACATGGCCCGTTAAAGAAGCCAGTCTTTGCACCATATCCTGCTACCCCCCCCCCCCTTTTTTTTCCCCTTTTTTGCTCCTCCAGTGCTGCCAAGCCAAGCATCATTATGCCAATTTTTTGTTTGGCGATGTTGCTGGGCATTGTCACGCAATATGGTGTCATTCGGACAGAATTTTAATGTGTGCAAAACGCTAACAATGTTCATTCAATCAGCCTCTCTGTATAGTGGGGGAGGGTCTGAAAGGTCAAAAACGACATCATGTCCGGTTATATGTGGTGAACTTTATGACTTGGTCAGACTATTTTTGAAATCATTGATGGCACCATCGGATTACCGAGCGAACAACGAAAAATCATTTGGAATTTGAACCATGTATGGCCGGCATTAGTCATTACTGAATTTCACCTGTCAGAACAGCCTAAATGGTAAATATCCAGCTGATTTTAATTAAGGATCTGCCTTCCTTCCCATAGACATGTTAGAAAAGTATCCAAAAATAAAAAACATTTCAATAGTTAAAAATTACAATGGACAATGCATATCCATAAACAAAAGGAAGAGGAAACCCAAACATAACCGCACCAAAATGAAGTATTCATATGTATTTTATGTGTAAATTAGTTTCAAAATCAATATGTATACCCATGTATTAATTCAAAATATAATACTAAGCATGACAAGGGTTCAAGCAGAGAAGTGAACTGGCCAGAGAAAAAGATATTTTGCAAAAACAAAATAACAAAAATTCCATTAAATCAACATACTAATCATAAAAAATGAGTAACATGCCATTCAGAATTTAAACCCTTAGGGATGTGAGTCTGTAAATAAAAAATCCAGAACACTTCTCTTACATAGGAGATGAAAAGCATCACCCCCTCGTACAGTAGTTTTAACCTTTGCTATCACCTGCACACCAGTTGCTGTACAATCACCTGTATGCATGGAAATAAAATGTTTAGCTACATTGGTTGAACCATTGTTTCTCACATCACTCAAGTATGCACAAAATTTATCTTTCAATTTCCTATTAGTCAGTCCTATATATTGTATATGACATACATTATAGGTGATAAAATAAATAACATGTTTAGTGTTCCAATTTAAAAAAATGCATTATTTGAAATGTTTTACCATTATGGGTTGAACAGAAACCATTCCCCATAATTACATGGGAGCATGACATACATTCCAAAGCACTGCATTTAAAGTTGCCTTTGAAATGAAGCAAGGTGACTGACTGAGATGGTGAGGGATTGAAGAAATTGGGAGATAAAACTTTGACAAAATCCTCGTCACTTCTGGTTTCTTAGACCATAGAGATTATTGGGGAGCTGCCGGTCCCCAGTCATCTCTATGGTAAACCAGCAGAACCGCCAGTTTCAATCCTCAGCTTCCCAGTTGAATGGGAGAGCTTGGGAAGGTGGGAGGGGGGACCACTTCCTCCACTTGTAAAGGTGATCCTAGCGGTAGCTATTTAGCTGCTAGGCTCACTTTTACATTAAAGAGCATCACCAGCTGAAAAAATTTATACTAAGGTCATGGCTGCAGCTGCAGGCATGGCCCCGGTATAACTACTTCAACCCGAGGACATATGGGTACGTCCTATGGGCAGGAAGTGGATAAACGCTGCTTTTGTTTTTTTCCATGAATGTAAACCTTTCTGTGATTTGACAAAATGGAGAATGGTGTCTACTTCAGTGATTTCCAGCTTACAGGAGGATCCCACAGGTATAACATAAGCATTGTTACATTTGTCCAAGCTGGACTAATTTACCTATGTAAAAAATGTCATACCTGGAATTCTCTAATTTGCCTCATCAACCCCTAATGGGCCCCTCCCACAGCAGGCCCCATAGCAGTTGCATGGGCTGCTATGCCTATAAGTATGTGACCAACTTGATGACATATGCCTCTCTGGTAGGAATACTCCAGAACACAGCATAAGTTTAGAGAAAAGAAAGCTGTGAAAATCAATATACCTTCTAAGAGAGTAAACAGACGAACAAACAAATGAAACAAAAAAGAGAGACCTTGTATGTAGTAATATTATCTTTTTTTATGCACCATAGTTTTGCACAACACTGCACAGAAGACAGAATATTCTGGGCAATGAAATGGCAGTTATAATGAAGGCCCCTTAAAAGCCATAGGGAAAGGGAGCCTTGATTGATGGGAGCATGGCTCAGTAATTAGGTATGGACATAGGCAACAAGTTAAAGCAGCTATAAGATGATTAGCTGGGCATGGGGTGAGGGGGAAGGGCCTGAACGCTCTTAAGGCCTACATTGAGGTAGATCTGCAATGACCCGAGGAACTGAAGTTTCAGAAGAGTTGACCACCCAACCTGACCTATTTGTGGTTGATGGTAGAGACAGGCCTTTTAGATTAGGTACAGTTATTGTTCAAGCTTGCTCAGAGTATAACTGTGATTGGAACTGGTTAAGTGTACTGAATATCTTGAAAATTTCAAATTAAGCTGGGGCCTTGCCCTTTCCATTTTAATCTGTCTACGTATTGTCGTTGGGCAAGGTTACTGGTTAATGTAGTGGTGGCTTTAAGCCAATGTTCTCCATCAGTCATAACAATGTAGACTTGTAGACAGAAGGGCACTTGTTTCAAAAGCTTATAGCCAAGGAGGAAGAAGGTAAAAACAAAACACAAAGGGTCTTGTAGTATCACATAGCATTTTGACTGAAAGGTGGTGATGATGGTTGTTGTGTACACAGGTAAATGAAGCAACTGTTCAAACAAAGGCTCAGGTTTTGTGATTGTCTTGTGTTATGAGGCATGGCTTTCAATGGGAGGCCTGTGGAGGGAGAAAATTCATGGACCTTTGAGGGATATCTAGAGATCAAGTAAAAGAGAGGTCTCCGGCCTCATTCACATGGATGCTAAGGCCTGAATGAGGCGTTTGTTTACAAGTCTGGGTGAGCAGCCTATGTTAGTGAATGGAGATGCAGTGGTTGTACAGATGCAGTTGCATATCAAAGTTTGACAAGCGTGTGAAGCGGGTGCTTGGCCCTGAACGTAGATAGTGTGCATGCATCTGTGTGAATGTGGCCTATATAAGAGAGTTTTAACAAATCAAATAAGTTTATGTAGTTGAGTTGCTGAGCGCTTGTTCACCAACAGATACACAAACAAAAGGTGCACTAAATTTAAATGCTTTTATATAAAACAATTCATGGGATAGCTTTTTGAGCGTATGCTGTGGATTATCAGTGGTGTTAAAATATCTTATCAAGCTTATGTATTTTTTTTTATTTTTAACCACTTGCCTACCGGACACTTTTACCTGCCCTGTCCTGCCCAGGACAATTTTCAGCGCTGTCGCACTTTAAATGACAATTGAGCGGTCATGCAACACTGCAGCTAAACAAAATTTTCATCTTTTTTGAGACATATAGAGCTTTCTTTTGGTGGTATTTAATCACCTCTGGGTTTTTAATGTTTTGCTAAACAAACTAAAAAAGACTGAAAGTTTTGAAAAAAAAAGTTTTTTCTTAGTTTCTCTTATAAAATGTTGTAAATAAGTATTTTTTCTCCTTCACTGACGTGAGCTAATGAGGCTGCAGTGATGGGCACTGATAGGCGGCACTGATGAGGAGGCACTGACTGGCAGCACTGATTTGAACTGTTAGGCAGCACTGACAGGCACTGATAGGCAGCACTGATGGGCACTGATAGGCAGCACTGGCGAGCACTTATTGGTGGCATCAATGCCCTGATGATCAGTGTAGATGTCCCCTCTGAGGAATGCCGATTAACGGCCCTCCTCTCCTCATGCACTGCGTGAGGAGAGGAATGCCGATAACCAGCATTTGCATGTTTACAGGCGATCAGCTGTGATTGGACACAGCTGATCACATGTCAGAGTTGACTTCATCGGCTATTTAGTGTGATCGGTGATCTGCTGTGTCCCAGAGACATAGCGCACCGCCGATCGTCACGCAGCATGCCCCCAGGGGTGTGCATGCACAATTAGATTGGGATGACGTCCTCCCAGAACGAGAGAGCCGCCACCTGCCCGACATTTCCTTATATGGCGGGCGGGAGGCGGTTAAAGATGAAAGTGATATTAAACTCATTATTTTCCAAAATAATCCATACACATTCACTTCCTAAAGACCACGTAATCTATTTTCATGAAAACATTTCTTCATTTATTACTGTGTTTTTCTGCCTTATTGCAATATCTTCCAGTAGCTCTCAAGCCTCTCCATTTGCCCCTTAGAGATTTGGAGTAGGCTGAAAACAATAAAAGGTACTTTCTGAGTTAATAATACATACTTGAATGGATTTTTTATATACACTGCTCAAAAAAAATTAAAAGAACACTTTTTAATCAGAGTATAGCATCAAGTCAATTAAATTCCTGGGATATTTAAGTTAAGTAGCGGAGGGGGTTGTTATTCAGTTTCAGCTGCTTTGGTGTTAATAAAATTAACACCAGGAGCACTAGATGGGCAAGAATGAGTCAAACCCCCAAAACAGGAAAGGTTTTACAAGTGGAGGCCACTGACATTTATTTCCCTTACTCCTCTTATTTTTACTGTTTTTCACTAGTTTTGCATTTGGCTAGGGTCAGTGTCACTACTGGTAGCATGAGGCGATACCTGGACCCTACAGAGGTTGCACAGGCAGTCCAACTCCTCCAGGATGGCACATCAATACGTGCCATTGCCAGAAGGTTTGCTGCGTCTCCCAGCACAGTCTCAAGAGCATGGAGGAAATTCCAGAAGACAGGCAGTTACTCTAGAAGAGTTGGACAGGCCATAAAAGGGCCTTAACCCATCAGCAGGACTGGTATCTGCTCCTTTATGTAAGGAAGAACAGGATGAGCACTGCCAGAGCCCTACAAAATGATTTCCAGCAGGCCACTGGTGTGAATGTCTCTGACCAATCAGAAACAGACTTCATGAGGGTGGCCTGAGGGCCCGACATCCTCTAGTGGGTCCTGTGCTTATTGTCCAGCACCATAGAGCTCCACTGGCATTTGCCATTGAATTGGCAGGTCAGCCACTGGTGCCCTGTGATTTTCACAGATGAGAACAGGTGCACCCTGAGCACATGTGACAGGTGTGAAAGGGTCTGGAGAAGCCGTGGAGAACGTTCTGCTGCCTGTAACATCGTTCAGCATGATCGGTTTGGTGGTGGGTCAGTGATGGTCTGGGGAGGCATATCCATGGAGGGACGGACAGACCTCTACAGACTAGACAATGGCACCCTGACTGTAATTAGGTATCAGAATGAAATCCTTGGACCCATTGTCAGACCCTATGCTAGTGCAGTGGGTTCTGGGTTCCTCCTGGTGCACAATAATGCTCGACCTCATGTGGCAAGAGTTCCTGAAAGATGAAGGAATTGATACCATTGAATGGCCCCCACGCTCTCCTGCCCTAAATTCAATAGAACACCTCTGGGATATCATGTTTTGGTCCATTCGACGCCGCCAGGTTCCACTTCAGACTGTCCAGGAGCTCAGTGATGCCCTGGTCCAGAGCTGGGGGAAATACCCCAGGACCAGGGGTGGACTGACAACTCATGGGGCCCCCGGGCAATAGGGGATCATGGGGCCCCTGTGTCCTTACCCAAACTCAAAAAAGCCTATGAAAAAGGTACCAGGGGCATATCATGGGGCCCCCTACTGACCCCGGGCCCTCGGGCAGTGCCCGAGTTTTCAAATGGTCAGTTCGCCCCTGCCCAGGAAACCATCTGTCGTCTCATTAACAGCATGCCCTGACGTTGGGGGGCATACAAACTACTGAGTACCATTTTGAGTTGCTGCAATTAAATTTCAGCAACATGGGACAGGCTGCTGCATCATTTTTTCACTTTGATTTTTTGGGTGTCTTTGAATTCAGTCCTCTGTAGGTTAATTTTCATTTCCATCAAACGATGGGTCATCCTTACGTTTTTAACACATTATCCAGTCCATATCAGTACAGATATTCAGCATGATATTTTTCCCCATTGAAATCTGATGTGTTTTCAAAATGTTCCTTTAATTTTATTGAGCTGTGTATATACATAGTGCCTTGGTTGCTTGGGGGGGGGGGCACTATCATCCTTACATACTCAATACACAAAGCAACTTTAACAAAAAACAAACAAGGTGTGAAAAAACACACATATATACACGAGTTTCACCGCCATGAAGATTCAAATCAACATATTTTATCAACAGTTCCCTTGTATTATCCACTGTGAAGATATAGAGCACCAAAAGTGCACCACTGCAAACTCCAACACACCGTTTTAGTGCATATCCCAGTGTTTCACAGTTTTTCCTACCAGATGGAAAGATCTCAAGAGCATGGGCATGGGCAGCACAGTGGCTAAATGGTTATCACTTCCGCCTGGCAGCACTAGGGTCGTTGGTTTGAATCCATGCCACGGCACCACCTGCCTGGAGTTTGCATGTTCTCCCTGTGCCTGCGTGGGTTTCCTCCGGGTACTCCGGTTTCCTCCCACACTCTAAAGACATGCTGGTAGGTTTAATTGGAGCCTGTCTAAATTGGCCCTAGTATGTGTATGTATGAATGTAAGTTAGGGACCTTAGATTGTACACCCTTGAGGGTTAGGGACTATGTGAATGTATAATATACAGTGAGGAACAGAAGTATTTGAACACCCTGCGATTTTGCAAGTTCTCTTTGGGCCATTTATTGTGAGATTTTGAGCAACGACCTCCTTCCCTCAGTCAGAGCATTGAAGATGGGTCGTGGCTGGCTCTTCCAACATGACAACGACCCAAAGCACACAGCCAGGATAACCAAGGAGTGGCTCCGTAAGAAGCATATCAAGGTTCTGGAGTGGCCTAACCAGTCTCCAGACCTAAATCCAATAGAACATCTTTGGAGGGAGCTGACACTCCGTGTTGCTCAGCGACAGCCCCGAAACCTGACAGATCTAGAGGAGATCTGTGTGGAGGAGTGGGCCAAAATCCCTGTTGCAGTGTGTGCAAACCTGGTCAAGAACTACAGGAAACATTTGACCTCTGTAATTGCAAACAAAGGCTTCTGTACCAAATATTAACAATGATTCTCTCAGGTGTTCAAATACTTATGTTCAGCAGTGCAAGACAAATAAATTCTTTAAAAATCATACAATGTGATTTCCTGAATTTTGTTTTAAATTCTGTCTCTCAGAGTGGGAATGCACCTACAATGTGAATTTCAGACCCCTCCATGATTTCTAAGTGGGAGAACTTGCAAAATCGCAGGGTGTTCAAATAGTTCTGTTCCTCACTGTATATATGTAAAGTGCTGCGTAAAAATTGACAGTGCTACATAAGTACCTAAAATAAATCTCAATACAACAAGATCAACATACACTTAGCAGTCACACAGCTATGGTATCCCATCCAATGATTTGGCTGAGCAGTGCTCAGCAAATGCCAAAAATAGAGCAAAAAATCACAGGACAAATACATTGAAATGTGATCTGGATATACGTGACTTTAACAAACACAATTCATGAACTTACAGGCATATGTGTACCAATGGGAGAATAGGAAAGACCTTCACTGGTGCTCTTCAGGAAGCTAAAATGGCTTTGCAGTGGCAAATGAGAAATCTTTGGTAACAAGACACTCTCTATTCTTGTTGAAAGGAATGATAAAACAGGTACAATTGCAGTGAATGCCAAAAAGATGGCTCCCTTCTCACCACAATAATGTGGATACAGAACAGAGTATGACTACCAGATACAGTATATGAGGAACATATTTTCCTTTCTCACCATTCTGCACAAGTCTTAATAAATTGTTTGTGTTGCGTATTGTTCTCCTGCCAGGTCTGTTGTGGACTGATGGTCCCCAGGTCCTGATTTCCATGCTCAGTAGTCAAACAAGAAAGATTCACAGCACCTGAAGAAGTGGGGTTTCTGGTACCCGCAAAGTGCATTGTGATAAATTATGATACTCTCCCTTACTAAAGCCTCCTATGACATCTACAATATCAAGTTTATATAACTTATCCACTTCAATACTGTGCACTTTTACTCCTGCTCAGGCCAATTTTCAGGTTTCAGCGCTCTCACACTTTGAATGACAATTGCGCGGTCATGCAACACTGTATCCAAACTAAAATTTTATCATTTTGTTCACACAATTAGAACTTCCTTTTGGTGGTATTTAATCACCGCTGGGGTTTTTATTTTATTCATAAAAAAAGACCGAAATTTAAAAAAAAAAAAGACATTTTTCTTTGTTTCTGTTATAAATGTTTGCAAATAAATAATTGTTCTTCATAAATTTAGGCCAAATCAGTATTTATTATTTAGTCTGTAGGAAAGTTATAGAGTTCACAAACTATGGGATATATCTGAAAATTTATCAATCCTGAAGTACTGACAGCCAATCTAATCTCTTGAGGCCCAAAATGTCAGAACAGTATAGATATCCTCCAAATGACCCTTTTTGCAAAGTAGACAGTCCGACGTATTTCATAAGAGGCATGGTGAATTTTTTGAAGTTGTAAATTTTTTGTCATAATTTTTCGAAAAAAGAAGAAATTAAAAAAAATATTTGCACAATTTTTTTTTTTTACATATTGTCACCAGTGCAGTACAGCGTCATCATATAACTGGCGGTTTTTTTTTTTTTCATTAGACTATGATTAAAGTAGTTTAATGTTACCATAGTAACATTGTACTACTTTGGGTAAGTGATCAGTATTTTTTTTTTACACAATTTGATTGCTTATAGCAAAGAATTTATTTGCTATAAGCAAGCATTTAACTGAATAAAATCGATTCATTCAGGTTTTTTTGTTGTGATTAGCTGTGATTGGCCATGGCTAATCACATGACACAGATAGGCTGTGATTGGCCCAGCCTGTGCATGTGATTGCTGCGACCAT